GTATACACTTATCCATTCACTTCTAATGATTGGTCATTTTTGACCAGGAACACCACAGGTGTATAAAATTTAAACAAAACACCAACATTATCCAAAATGTATTTTGTGTGTTCAGATGCCCTATGTGGACAAAGTCATGGAACCTCATAACAATCAGATTAAATAAACAACATTTTTTAGAGAGAAAACTTGTAAATTGGTCAAATTCAACCGGCACACAATAGGAGGGTTAACAACCGGATAAAACTATTTACAGTTAGCTGTGGCAATTATACCTTAATAATATTTACACATCAATGACAATTTACGTTACCTGGTCTATCCAGCTGACTGAATTCTGACAGCTGAGGTAATCATAGGCTAATTTTACGTAGCCAATCTTGCTATTCGTAAAATACAAAAAACGTAAGCCATTTCATTAACAAAATATAAATAACATACCTGAGTGGAGATTGTATGGAATGTGCTCAAAGACGACAAAAATGGACTTTGTGTGTGGTGATTGGTGTGCTATTTCATTGGACGAGCAAAAATGGAGATCGTAGCTTAATTGGATTTTAAAAAGTGGAAGTTGGTACCTGCGGTGATTGGTGTATGAAAAATAGACCTTGCCATTTCATTGGACGGGCAAAAATGGAGTTTGTAACTTTTTTTTTTTTTAAAGATGGAACTCGGCATACTATTGGATTAATTTTACAGACATGTGGTTGTCAGGTACTGACATTTTGGCCACAACCACAAGCTGTTTAGCCAGCGGGGATTTCCGTGAGACCAACCGTCATTTTGTCAGAAGAGCAGAGCGAAACTCCCAGAGAACAAAACGAGGGGTGAGTACCAGAAGAGCGTAAGTGACATTTTTGGGCGAAATGGCGATATATATCAAATGAAAGCTCTTTATGAGCTCTTTCTACTTCCAAAAGGACACAAGTGAATTGTAAATAATTTTGGAGTTATTCATTAGAAACCAAAAGACTTAACACTGAACATACTAAGCCAGTGGGTGCCAAAAGGTCATAACTGCTGTTATGCCGGTTTGTCACTGAGAAATGTTCTGTGGGTAAAGCTTGTGGATAGCACTTGAGTCAAAATGGCTGACACCACATGTAAGCCAGGAAGGTAAACCATGAGAAGAAATTTTTTTGTTACTGCTGAAGATATATTATTAATCTTATTTTGTGACAAAGAGCTGGATGATGAGGGAGAAAATGAAATGTCCAGAATTCATTGTCAGTGAGGTGCAGCTAGCTAGCGGGTAGTAACCAGTAACTTACATTATGATTTTATGTCCTTAGTGAAACATAAACATACTAAAATTTATTTGAAATACATTTATTTCATGCTAAGTATAGTACAAATACATTTACATATGTATGTACTTAATAAAAATACCCTGCAATTGTACTTTTAGTATAATAAACTGGTATACTTTTGGAACAATTTTAAATTTTGTGCTTAATGCACTTTAATTGTGCTGAAGTAGTGCTGAAGTCCAAATAAATATATAATGAAGTATATTTGATTGTGCTAAAGTGGAACTATTGCAAGTATACTTCAGGTACACTTTAAATATCTTGCATTTAAAGACTTATATTATTCAAATATCATATGATCATCATAAATAGTGAAATTAAAACATATTTTAGGCTTAATATTGAGAAATGTGCATAGTGCACAAGTAGTAGTCCAAATAAAGTTTTATTACAATTTTTATATCAGTAAATCTTGAGCAATATGTCAGTAAATATATCAACCCTTGTGTGATGTTCATATTTTTGTTATTCAGCCAGTGTTTGTGGGTCTAGTGGACCCGCAGCATTTTTGGGTTTTTAATTTAGCACAATTAAAAAAATTATGTTAAAATACTCAACAGATGTTTACTTCATCCCAATTACAAGCAATATAAACAGCATATATGGTTGATATTTGCCCTTTACCTTTGTTAGATCACATTTATGAATTAAAGTGCCACAACCTTGTGTGGGATGGCAAGGGCAGAAACACAAAACTCACACTTACACTCACGCTCTCACAGACTCTCTCTCCCACACACACGCACACACACACACACACACACACACACACACACATAAACACACATACCCATACTAATAGCTGTCCCATACAGTAGGATGACAGAATGAAGGTACAAAGGACCTAAATTTCCACACTTTTATTACCCCTGGGTCCAGTGGACCCGAACATCCTGCAAGTAATATGTGTGTAGGGGCGGTGGACAGTGAGTGGTCATTGAAAATGTATTTTGATACATGTTCTTCACAGAAAATGAGCCAAGGCCAATGAGTATGGGTTTGAAAAAATTATTAATCGTACACATATTCTTTTGTCAAAAAGTGAAAATGGGTCCCACAGACCCGAACACCATACAAGGGTTAATAGAGCTGAACTATTCGTAGGATGAAATAAATGCATTTTAAATATATTACTTTTTTTTAAAACTATATATTTTTATAAACTATATTACTTACTCTGCACAAATGGCAGTATCCCACAGTCTTATGTGGACTTCTACTAAGCTTTACAAGTCAGCCAGTCAGAGTAGGTTACTATTTCATATACAATTCATAATTCCATCTGAAACTTTCTTTATGACACACATTCATACTAGTTCAAATATATTACAATTTTATTTACTTTATTTATTGTCTATTTACTGACATATCGCTCAATACTTACTGATTTAAAAACATGTAATTGAACTTTATTTGGAGTACTACTTATGCACAATGCACATTTCTCAATATTAAGCATAAAATGTGTTTTAATGTCACTATCGATGAGGACTGTATGATCGTCGAATAATATCGGTCTTTAAATGCATGATATGTAAATTGTACCTGAAGTACACTTGCAATAGTTTCACTTTTAGCACAATCAAATATCCTTCAGTATATCTTTAGTTAGACGTCAGCACTACTTTCTTACAATTAAAGTGCATTAAGTACAAAATTTGTTGTTCCAATCACACACACACACACACACATAAACACACATACCCATACTAATAGCTGTCCCATACAGTAGGATGACAGAATGAAGGTACAAAGGACCTAAATTTCCACACTTTTATTACCCCTGGGTCCAGTGGACCCGAACATCCTGCAAGTAATATGTGTGTAGGGGCGGTGGACAGTGAGTGGTCATTGAAAATGTATTTTGATACATGTTCTTCACAGAAAATGAGCCAAGGCCAATGAGTATGGGTTTGAAAAAATTATTAATCGTACACATATTCTTTTGTCAAAAAGTGAAAATGGGTCCCACAGACCCGAACACCATACAAGGGTTAATAGAGCTGAACTATTCGTAGGATGAAATAAATGCATTTTAAATATATTACTTTTTTTTAAAACTATATATTTTTATAAACTATATTACTTACTCTGCACAAATGGCAGTATCCCACAGTCTTATGTGGACTTCTACTAAGCTTTACAAGTCAGCCAGTCAGAGTAGGTTACTATTTCATATACAATTCATAATTCCATCTGAAACTTTCTTTATGACACACATTCATACTAGTTCAAATATATTACAATTTTATTTACTTTATTTATTGTCTATTTACTGACATATCGCTCAATACTTACTGATTTAAAAACATGTAATTGAACTTTATTTGGAGTACTACTTATGCACAATGCACATTTCTCAATATTAAGCATAAAATGTGTTTTAATGTCACTATCGATGAGGACTGTATGATCGTCGAATAATATCGGTCTTTAAATGCATGATATGTAAATTGTACCTGAAGTACACTTGCAATAGTTTCACTTTTAGCACAATCAAATATCCTTCAGTATATCTTTAGTTAGACGTCAGCACTACTTTCTTACAATTAAAGTGCATTAAGTACAAAATTTGTTGTTCCAATTTAGCAAACTTTAAGTATACCAGTTTAGTGATATGTGAATAATAGGTAAATGTATTTGTAGTATAGCATGAAATAAATGTGTTTCAAAGACATTTTTGTATATTTATTTTTCACTAGGGAAGGCATCTCTAAAGGCTTTTCAATCAACCATTCAACTAAATTGTTAAGTGCCTGAGATTACTATTTCAGAAAAATTAATCACATTCAATTAACTAATTTGATTTGGCTTTTTATGTGATATTTCATTTTATCACAATGGATTGTTATTTCTTTTAAACTCATTAATGTAATGTTTTGTTCATATTGTCAGCAGATGTGCCCATGTTTTTATACATGCAATTTTTCTGAATAAATATTAAAATAGTGTTCAATAAGTATATTGTTATTCGTGTGTGTACACATTTTTATTATAAAAGATTGAAATTAGTACACAAAATCAGATCAAACTATGGTCAATTTTTGTTTTGGCCATCCTGTAAAGTTGGTGAAATGTCACTTATGCTCTACTGGATCTCACCCCTTGAAAATAGACTGGCCCCGTACAGGGATCGACCCCACGATGATGAACAAATGAAAGTTGGCCTCTGAATGAATTTAAAAATGGGGCTGGACCTAACATGTAGAGGGATCTTAGGGATGACCGCTTAAACGGTCAGATGTCCCATAGACTTTAAGCCAGTGTGGGAAACAGAGGGGAGAAGTTGGCTGCACGACCTGACTGATCCAAAGGTAGCCTACGTAATACAGGAATCCACACACATATATACTGGAGTAACAAGACCAAGAAGGGCCTTAAAAACAAAAGCACATTCTCTCGGTTAATCCTACAACTAAATGGCGGACAGTGTAAAGGTGGCAGCACAGAGGAGAGATGGCCACTTTTCTTCAAGCCTGTTATAATAGAGGTCACTTTTCGAAGGTATCTTTTGGAGCGATGGTCATCACTCTACCACGGCCAGGGGAATTAGGTCAAATGGTAGCGTGCTCGCTTAGCATAAGAAAGGGCCTAATCTCAAAGACTTCAAATGTTTTATTAAAATGAATACACAAAAATATTGAAATGAGTACACACGCATATAAAACAATATGAAAAGAAAGAGTGGGCCCATGTTATATATATATATATACACACAACATACAGGAAATATATTATTTACTGAGGAGGTGGAGTTTGGCATTTAATTTCCTGGCGCTGTTCTGCCAACCAGTCATCTAACGATTTTCCGTTTTCCATTTCAAACATACCATACCATCTCGGCTATGACCAAAATCGTTAGTTTTGGGCTGCTCACATTTGCTGCATGCGTTAAAAGTAACCCCTCACACATACTTCCTCTTATGGACTCTGCTTTCCATCTCCAGGGCCTGCCGGCGCCTGTTCCTCTGGGTGTAATGGGACACAGGAGCAGCAGACGCAGGAGCAGGTGGAGCCTGCACTGGATGTCGAAGCACCAGAAGATGGAATCAGCGGGCCGTCGACCTGGTCGCAGAAGAGGAGCCTGTCCTTCTCGATTTGGCGGAAGGATAAATTGATGTTTTGGGCCTGATGTTGATGGCGCGTCATCCAATTTTTGCCTCGGAGAAGGAAGCTGTGTATCAGCCACAGCAATTGGGTCAGGTGGAGTCAGTCCCTGAGCGAGGACACTCATTTCCTGATTTTTCTGCCACTATTGAAACCTGAAAATAAATTGCTTGTATTATATACACATGTTTAGAGGAATTCAGTTAATTTGAAGCAAATAATGTACCTTGCTTACCACTGAATGAGTGTCCTCTTGTTTAGCTCAAACAGCTGGATCATCAGGTCCAATGACTGCTCCCTAGTAAATGCAGATTAATGTTAATGTACACTACCAGTGTCACGGTGCGTTGGAGGGAAACGAAGAGATGACTTACACAAACTTGACTTTTAATAAAACAAACCAAAGGAGTGGAACACTAACATCGGGAGCACTGAATTACAAATACGAGATAACGTTTAAGACTCGACAAGGAAACATGAGGCAGACTACACATTTATACTAAACTTAATGAGGGACAGACAGGTGCGGGGAATCAACTTATAATGAGACATTGAGAACAGGAACAAAACCAAATATGAGCATAAGGAAACAAAAGGGAAAAACACCAAAACGGGAACACAAGTCTGACTTGGCGGTGCAGGCAGTTCGGGGAGCCATGGCGGAACAGGGAACTCAGGACGCCATGGCCGGACGGCCTCCGTGGCCTTGGCCTCGCCACTCGGCCCGGCTACTACGGATGGGCCCATACTACCCCCCCCCAAAAAAAAATCCTTGGGGAGAATGTGGTCTTTCGAGGCCCTCCGTAGGCCTAACTCGGGAACAGTGGTCCTCCGTGGGCTAAACTCGGGAACAGGAGCCCACTCTGGGCTGGATTCGGGGACTGGGAAGCACTTACGAGGAGCTGGCACTGGAGGGTGCTCTGAAGGAGCAGGCACAGCTTGACTTCAGAATGGCAGGTGGGCTGGAGAGAGCCGCGGCCGGTGTGCTTGCATCAGTGGCGGCGGGCAGGCTTGACTGTTAAGAGGCTGGCCATCTTGACTTCCGAGCGGTCGGTGCTCCTGGGCTGAGGACTACGGTGGAGCTTCGGAGGACAGCGGGGAATTTGGGGTTGGGCAGGCGGTAGGATCCATTAGAGAGGTATGTGGGGTTTCTCGGCATGAGGTGAGCTGGATGACGAGGCTTGGGATGTTCCTTTACTTCTTCAACTTCGAAGTCAGAACCATTTAAGAAAAGCACAAGATTATTCAGCTCACTCAAGGGAAAGTCACACACCGGAAGATCGCAGTGGATAATCTCGTCATCCAACCCCAGCAGGAAGCACGTACATAGAGCGGCGTCGTGCCAGCTCACCCGGTTGGAGAGCTCGAGAAAACCCTCCACATATCGCTACAACCTCGGACTCAACAAGGAAACATGAGGCAGACTACACATTTATAGTAAACTTAACGAGGGACAGACAGGTGTGGGGAATCAACTAATAATGAGACAACGAGAACAGGAACAAAACCAAATATGGGCATAAGGAAACAAAAGGGAACACACCAAAACGGGAACACAAGTCTGACAACCAGTCAAACGTTTTTGGACAGTAAGATTTTTAATGTTTTTTTAAATAAGTCTCTTCTGCTTACCAAACCTGCATTTTTGTGATCCAAAGTACAGCAAAAGCAGTAATATTATGAAACTGCTTTCTATTTGAATATATTTTAAAAGGCAATTTATTCCTGTGATTTCAAATCTGAATTTTCAGCATCATTACTCCAGTCTTCAGTGTCACATAATTCTTCAGAAATCATTCTAATATGCTGATTTGCTGTTCAAGAAAATTTATTTTTATTATTATTATTATCAATATTTAAAAGAGTTGTGTACATTTTTTAAAGATTATTTGATGAATAGAGATATTCAAAATCAGCATTTATCTGAAATAAAAAGCTTTTGTAATATTATACACTATACCATTCAAAACCTTGGAGCCAGTCTATTTAAATCATTATATATTTATTATTAAATTATGAATATATAGAAATAAAATATTTTAGGATAAAGACATTTATAATGTTGCAAAATATTTAGATTTCAGATAAATGCAGTTCTTCTGAACTTTCTATTCATCAAAGAAACATAAAAAAATACACTCAGCTATTTTTAACCTAATAATAATAAAAATAAATGTTTTTTGAGCAGCCAATCAGAATATTAGAATGATTTCTGAAGAATTGTGTGACTGGAGTAATGATGATAAAATTCATCTTTGAAATCACAAGAATAAATTACATTTTAAAATATATTCAAATAAAATGCAGCTATTTTAAATAGTAAAAATATTTCACAATATTACTGCTTTAGTTTTTTTTGGGATCAAATAAATGCAGTCTTGGTGAGTAGAAAATAATTCTTTAAAAAACACTGTTGTCCAAAAACGTTTGACTGGTAGTGTATGTGGAATAAAATGATTGAAATTAAATAAAGCCATTAGAGTGTCTTATCTGAGCCTCGTCTGAGAGACTGCCTCCAGTGTCAGATGGCTGTGACAGCACTGAAGAGGCAGGGGCAAGATGCTGTCCTTCTCCACCAGATGATGTGGACGGCTCAGCCAGAATATGCTCCAAGAGGGCGATAGCACTCATCCCAGGGCTTCCCAAAGACTGTTTGGCTAAGTTGGTCCACAGCCTCTTTCATGGCACTGCCAAATGACCAGATGGAGGAAGCTCCTTTTATGGCGTCTTCCATCCGGTCATCATTCCAAGCTCTCAAGGACATAGGCATGAAAATGCGCATCACTGGCACTGGTTCCTGAAAGTTAAATCAATTTTAAAAAGGCTTTTATATGTCACATATGTACAAGATATGTACTACACATGAGGTGATATGACGCAACTGGTTACATGTAATAGAGTTATGTAGTTACATTAAAAATTATTGTAATTTTAACCAGTTACTAGTGACTTGTCAGACAAGACAGCTTTGTCAATGCTTATGACATCAGAACTGTAATATTACTGTAGAGTGTGATATTTATTAATGTGACATTACTTTAAAGTAATGGAAGCAGTTACAGGGCTTATATTTTTTTACAAAAATTTTTTTTTTTTAATCTTTTATCAGTGGGTCTTGGATACACTGTACATGCTTCTGCTGTTCTTTCAATATCTGCTGGATCCATTCGTGGTCCAGCAGAGGAAATCCCAGAGTGTCCTTCCCATCCGCACTGTCAAGCAGGTCAATCAGTGATCCAATTAATCTAGTGGTCTCATCCACACCCCTGGTCCTCCTCCGGCAGTGCAGTGCCAACTCCCTCCGGGTAATGCAAGCACTGACCACCCTTTCTGAGATGTGGCCAGTCTTCTTTGCTGCCAGCTTACCCTCCTTTGCACGGCGAAGAGCAGCCGCATCCTCTGGATCCCACTGAAAGATGCACATGGACAGACGTGCCATGAAGATCCCATAGAGCGGATGAGCCTCTGTCATGACACCTGCAGCAAATCGCCGTATAAAGTGCCAGATGTCGAGGTGCACTACAAGCTCATCCCACTCCGAAAACATGACCTTCACCCGAGACTGGCCATGCTGACTGCAGCAATCTCTGTCCACATACATCCTTTTTGGGGCTGCTTCTCCTGCCTTCCGGTAGCATTTCATCAGGCCAGCTGCCATGGCGTCCAGTCTATGTCCCTCAGCAGCAGTCAGCACAGAGACAAGGACCTGGCCGTGTTTGTTTACCAAATTCCATGGGTTCATTGGGGTGGATAAACAGATGGCCGGGTTAGATGGGTGGGGGTGTACAGAAACAGGTGTCCAAACAGGTGTCCATTTATGGTAGGAGGAGGGGGGTTTATGAGGGGCAATAAATCAAACTTCTTGACACATAGGACCCTATACTCTCTCTTACCACATTTGTGCACCAGGCAGCTGTTCCTGAAGCAGCACCGGCAAGTTTCTTTGTGATCTATTTGAAAAAACTGTGTTCATTATGTACACACACATATCCATATCTGGCAAATTTCTGGATAAAAACAGGGTTGTGATACCTTTTTTTGTGGAATCCATCTTGAGAACACAGCCAAAGACAGATGTAATTTTGGCCTTGACCTCGTGCAGTCACCCCATAACATCCCTGGGGTACACGGCTAACATCCACTTAGGTTTAGGTAGGGCAGTTAAAAGGGGAGGCTCAGCAAACACAGGAGACTGCACAAGGGAGGACCTTGTGAATGGTTCGCAGGCAGTCAGGTACTTCAGGACATGTTGTGTCCATGCCTCACTGTGCTGTTCCATCAGCTTCTTGTAAAGCTGAGTCACACTGTTGCCCAGTGTCCTCTCCCTCATCATCCTCAGCACCCAGTTGTCACATGAGTATCTATGGAAACAACAGCATAATCATGCAAATGCTTTGGTTGGTAAAAAAATAACACAAATAAAAATGCCTAATAATGAATTATTGTCATTATGAATTACCTGTATGGCAGCAAAGCTGGAAACTGACTGCGGTGGCCCATATCCAGCTGTCCCAAGATGTCCTCGGACCAGGCGGGATACTTCTTCTTGCAGCGTTTACACTCCAGATACTCAGTGGCAAGGTCATACCACCCATCAATGTCCAAGACATTGTGCACAGTATGGTAAAGTCCTGCCGCTGTTAGTCTGTGCTTACCACAGGCTGGGCGAACACAGATAAGAGGAAATAACCACATCTTCAGTTAAGAAAAGGGGCCGACAGAAGAAGAGGTCGGGTGAGGAGGGTGGCTGAGTGTGAATTAAAGGGGGCTGAGAAGGATACCACCAAAGCGTCAGCTGGGACACTTGTTCTGGCTTGCCGGTTCACGGGTTGGCCTTAAATAGTGTTCCGGACCCACTCATGCAGGAAAGGTGGAAGATTATCTGTTTAGTGACTTGGAAGCTCAGCTGGTGGGTGATAATGTGGAGGATCTGGTGTTTCCACTGATGGAGATGAACCGGCACAGGCCTCTAAGTGAACAGTAAAAAAACTGTTGCATTTTATAGTAATATGCCATAAATGTAGTCCACAAACAGCCTGCAAAGCAGTAAGTATTAATAATTAGTGAAGAAAATGGTACTAGTATTAAGATGCAAAGAACAAAGTGTACACTTTATTGAGGATCAGATGGAATGGTGTAAGGAAAATGAGGTGTGATGAATCCAGTATAAACCAATGATGCCCACAGACATGAAGCATGCACACAGATACAGTAAGGAAAAACTGTCCCTCTAATCATTATAACAATGAATCTCCACCATCCCGTCAGCTCAGAGGGAGCTAAAGAGTGAGTGAGTAGAGCAAGCCATGTGAAAAAGTTATCCGCTGATTGTTTAACAACAGGTAAGTTCGGAAACGCAAATAAATACACTGACACCTTTGGACATCCTTAAGGTTTTGAAGAAGTGCACTCAAAGAATGCCTCCTGCTTGATGCATGATGTGACATAATTCTTTATTGTAAACAAAAATTATTTTAAAATGTAGATTTAAAAAAAAAAAACGCTTCTCAGTGTGTTTTCACAAAACATTCTTATAATATTTAAATTTGTGTCATATGCCACACCTGTATTTAGCTGTGCTTCACATTGTGATGCAGCAAATACCAGATACCCATTATCATCTTCAGCAGTGGGAACAGAAGTGCCTGGAGCACAAATGTTAAAACTATTACTGTGAACAATACACGGAGACAAACGTATGTAATATGGTGCTTACTTACCAGTAGCGAAAATCTGTCTTCGAGCCAAATGTTTGGCTGGGGGTTCTGCTGCTTGAGAAGGTAAAGTGGACTGCAGTAATGGATCTGGAAACAGCAAGTGGACAAGTTTTGATAAATAAATACATGTAGCACTGCTGTAGGGGAAATTCAATATCCACACTCCTACTCACAGGGTTTAACAGTTGACATAAGTTTTCTCACCAGCTGTGAAGGAGACAAATGTTTGCCACAATCCAACAGTGCTTTCACAGTGGTGGTCTGCTGTACACCAGTTCGGAAGTGCAGAGGTACTGGAGATTGCAGGTGGAGGTGCAGATACACTGGAGGTTGCAGGTGGAGGTGCAGGATGACATACACTGGTGCTCACAGCAGAAGCCTGTCTTTTCAGGACATACGTCTTGAAAATGTCCATGTTGGTGTTGGGCCTGGCATCTGCCTTAACACGGTACCTGATGAGGGCTTTGGCCTCCTTGCTCTGGTCCTCATAAACATCCTTAATAGTCTGGCCCTGGAAGTCACCAAACTCCACCATCAAGCAGCCCTGGTCTCCAGTTGCTCGGGCTTCTGCTTGCATTTCCTGCTTCCTCTGATACTTCTCCACTTCTTCTGCCATCTCTTTAATTTGAGAAGTGTACTGTAGGAACAGTTGTTTATTTTCTGACAGGGGGGTTGTCTGCGCTATCTCATTGAAAATGCTGAGCATCAAATACACTGCGTACCCCAGAGATTTTTCCAGGAGCCATCTAAATCTCTGTCCCTGGTGCTTCCCAAACTGATGTTTGCAGTAAGCCAGTACTAAAAACTGGTCACTGGGGTCTCCACCGTTTGTGTTGACAAAAGTACTGGCCTCTGCCAGCACCTCCTCCTTAGGTTTGGCCCTTCCAGACTCCACATTTTCAAGGTGCTTCTCCTGCGCCGATGGCGCCATGAGGAGTCTGCCTGATGTTGCCGATTGGCAGCAAAAAAGGGGGTTTGCGTACATTTTCTGAAATGAAAATCAGAAAAAGACTAATACCTCTTGCAATCTGAAAGACACCTGTATGTTAAGTGTGTAACGATAATTTAACAAGCTAGACGTAAACCATATTACTGGGGTAATAAACATGGCCATGACATAAACTGTCATGATGATGAGTTCCCATTCAGTCAGTCACGTTCAACGTTACGTCAGTGACTGACGAATTGGGATCTCGCCCGAGAGCCCAATCACCTTCGAGTGTTAACTAAACAAGCCAATGACAGTTGGCGTGCGTCCGTTGCCACAGTTGCTGTACCACCGCTGTACGGCCGGGGCACGTAGTCTCGGCTCCTCAGCGAAAAACTGATGTGCGTTTGCACGCGCTCTCCTTTTATATCCGCGCTGCGGGGCGGGGTGCGCGTGGCGAAACACGCACGCCAACTGTCATTGGCTTGTTTAGTTAACACTCGAAGGTGATTGGGCTCTCGGGCGAGATCCCAATTCGTCAGTCACTGACGTAACGTCTCCGTTCCCTCCTTCAGGGAACGAGGGTTACACAAGTAACCTAGACGTTTTCTACAAAGTACAGGAATCCCTGATATATCAAATATATAATGTCAAATATGAAGTCTGAAATCTCCTTTTATTCTATAAATTATATTACCTATAATGTGTAATTTAATGGATTACATTACTAGCTACAATTTTTTGTCATGTAATTTGGAATCGGTAATGGACAATTTGCTTTTCAGTAGCGACATGTTCTGTATTTATCATGGGAAAAGTTACAGGTTCACAGGTACTGAAGAAAACGTGTGCTATACATACTTGCTAGCTATATTGGTACATTTCATTTTCCAAAAATACACTCTGTATATGAACAAATAATGACCGATATTCAATAATGAAGTAAACCATAGCCTTACCTATTTCAAAAAATACCTAACTGGTCAAAAGCCACATGAGAGAGAAACACGATTGGTCAAAGTAAGCCACAGGAGAGAAATGAGAGTGGTCAAATTAAGCCACAGAGAAAAACGCGATTGGTCAAAAGTAATTCATGTGGGCTTACTTTGGCTCAATCTGTGGGAAGCAGTAAGCACAATTCCAGTTGTCAGCAAGATTGCCAGTGAACTGCATAGGTGTTGATGGATTTAACTTTTCCATGATTAGAGATTGCTCAAAGTTCTCTTACTTTGTTTCAATGTTGACTTTTTAAAATGGTTTTGTGCAGTGGGGAACCGTTAGGGCCCTCTAGGCCCTCAGAGAGGGTCTAACTTATTGTAAAAACAATATTTACAATTTTTAAATAAATGTTTTAAAATATAATATTTTAAATAAAAATAATTATTACAAATTTTATTTTTATTTTATTAGAGGTGTGGAAATACATATTTTGACAGGCAGGCAGGACAGCCAATCATAATGTTCGGACATTTTATTGTAAAAATACATGTAAATAAATTTAGACCAATTAACTTTGTGATTATTATCGGGATGTGAAATGACTTTCAACCAGCATAACAAAAACACAGATGGCGCACAATCTCAATAAATATACCTGTGAATGTTTGTTAATCTAATGAATAATTGATTTGTTAAATCAAATGAAAAATGGTGTGTCTGATTGGTCCAGACGCTACATAACAGAATTACAGTATTTCAGTATTCACGCAAACATAATCTGTTACGTCTTAAGTGAATGTTTGGGGAACTGTTGGGAAAAACATCTGATGTGTAACATTATATAAGACCCATGCATTACAGTAGGTCTTAATATATAGGCCCTCTGACAGTCAGCAGAAGTGAGAAAAAAGTATTTATAACATTTTAAATATGGATATTTTTCTTACAAAAATGCATCGATTCGCTACATGAGGCCTTTATTCACCCCCCGGAGCCGTGTGAAGCTCGTTTATTATGGATGTGTGCGCTTTATATGACTAAAAAAAAAACCCTGCCAACACTGCCATTCTAAAGCTTGAAAGAACAAGGACAATTTTTAATATAACTCCGATTGGATTCGTCTGAAAGAAGAAAGTCATATACACCTAGGATGCTTTAAGGGTGAGTAAAACATGGGCTAATTTCATTTTTGGGTGAACTAACCATTTTGTAACGCCCCTGTGGACTGTTTATTGTGGTTTCTTCCCCTTTTGTTGGTTTAGCCCGTTCAATCATTAGTTAATTATCCTCAGTGTGCTCACCTGTCTGCCCCTCGTTATCTGCCCTATAAGTTCCTGTCTCTTGTATTCTAGTATTGTCGGTTATTGTGAATGTTACCCCGAGTGTGTGTGGCTCATCTACCCGAATCTGCCTTGTTGTCTCTACATTAAATATTCTTATTTGAATCCTTGTCGTCCTCGTCAACCTGCCTGCCTCCACACACTGTGACCGTGACAGAATAACCGACCCAAAAGTAAAGTATAGCGGCGTCTTTCCCCTCGTTTGTTTTTGCCAGTGTTTATTTTTGTTTTTCTATGGATTACCCCGCCTTCGAAATCCTCCTGCTGGAGCA